TACCTCCCCTCCCCCCTCAAAAAGTCCTAAGTGTGCACGGAAAGGTCTTCCGGGTTATGGGGTTCGGCCCAGGAGAGGGATCATGGTGAGCATCCGAAGCCCCCTTGGAAAACCATCAACGCAACAGACAGAGGGCATAATTCGCCGGCCCAACGGGCCAGGGCGTGCTAAGATCTCCGGTAACTGGTTAACAGTATTAACAGTATTTCTAGTTCGCGCGCGCGGGGCGGCCCCTGGGGGTCCCCCGGCGAAAAGTACCCCGACCAACGCCCGGTCGCCGCCCCGCCGCCCGGTCGCCGCCCGACCGCCGCCCGACCAAGTCTACTCAGAGATGGTTTTCCTTCTGGGTGCGGCCTCTCAGGCTCCCCAGAGCGCGCTCAGAGTGCCCCAAGAGGCCCCCAAGACTGCCCAAGAGGCCCCCGAGACGCCCAAAGAGCGCTCGAAGACGCCGAAGATGACCCCAAGACGGCCCAAAAGGCCCCCAAGACAGCCCAAGAGGCCTCCAAGACGCCCCAAGAGCCTTCCAAGAGGCCTCCGAAGAGAGCCCCAAGAGGCCAAAATCGTTGATTTTCATTGGTTTTTTCTATGTTTTTTGTGTTCTGGCTTTTTCGGCTTCCGGACGCTCCAAGACGGCCCAAGAGGCCCCCAAGACCGCTCCAAGACGGCCCACGAAGCTCCCAAGACGGCGCCGAAACGACCCAAGAGAGCCCTCAAGACGGCCCAAGTGCCGCCCAAGACGGACCAAGAGGCCCCAAGACGGGCCCAAGAGGGACTCAGGAGGGATACCGAGAACTCAAAAATGGAGCCCTCCGTCCCAGAAGGCGCCCAGGAGGTCCCAAAGAGGCCCCAAGAGGCCTCCAAGAGGCCCCAAGATGTCGCCAAGAGGCCCCAGGAGACTCCCAGGAGGCCCAAAAGAAGCCCCAGAAGGCTTCAAACATGTCTCCCAGGCGCCCCCGAACGGCCTCTCAACAGACCCCAAGAGGCCCCCCAAAGAAGCATCTTGACGACGACTCTATTTCGCCCCATCGAGAGACGACCCCCAGGGAACTGCTTCACCATCAAAACTCCCCACGCAACGCGTCCGAACGACACCCGCCCCCAAGAGCGCAACATGGGCAACGAACACACAGACAAAAACCAGCGATGCCATATCACGGGCCGGCGGAATGAGCGAAGCGATTCAATAAAGTAGAAGACAACTTGGACGACCTTCCGAAGTCGACGACGTCCACCCTTGATGCCACCACTGCCGCTGGAGCCCAGCGTCCTAAACCTGAACCTTCACCTCAGCGCAAGACGACGAGCCAGTGCGGCAGGTTCGTGCCTTGACGAACCGTCCACTGGTCTCTGTCACCGCGTGGACCACCAACTTTGAACGAGAGGGGCTTCCTGGCTACGGAGAGCCCTCAATACTGGCCGAACTCAGGCCGCCAGCAACCTTCAGCCCCGAACGCCCGCGCTGGTGTCGCCGCCGCGTCGACACGGTACGACTCGCACGTGCGCACTGAGAAGCCTCGGCACGACTCGGCACGCGTCGACACGGCACGACTCGACAACAGGGCAGGCTCCTGGACCCCGGCTGGCCACGGGCAGGGTGCCCCCAGGCATACGCCTGGAGGGTCCAGTGCATACCGCGGCGCGGACCGCAGACACCCCACGTGGTGCAAGATGTGGGGCACTCGGGCTCAGTGGCCCGGACCCGCAACGCCTCTGTTCTGCCCGTTCGCGTCCCCAGAGAGCCACTGCTGCGATTCGCTCCAAAATCGGGGTCCCCAGGGAGCCCCGAACCTTTCTCCGAGGCCCGCCTCTCGCCCAGAAGTCGTTCTCGCTTGGCTTGACGGCCCCGGGGCTCGACGACGGGCCACCGGAGGCCGAAAGCGAGGCTGCCACACCGTGCTCTGTTCCATGACGTTGGCTCTGTGTGCCTGGGCCGCTGCCCCTCGCGACCTCCCCCTCCCAGCGGCGCTGGCGCTGCATGCCGAGCCCGCGCTCCGACGGCCCCACTCGCCATCGCTCGGACGCCCATTCCCTGTGTTTTTGTTCGGTTTCGTGCGTGGCTTTTTCGCCAAGTGATCAAGGATGCTCCTCGATGGTCCTCGCCGAGGAATAAACGCACACGTCCGAGCGATGCCGAGCCCAGGGGACACCCCCCGGAGGCGGCCTCCGGGCGCTGAGAGCGGCGGCAGGCAGAGGGTAGGACCTGCAGCTCAGACGACCTGGTCGGCGCTCCTCCTCCCTGGGCCTGCGACGACCCGCAAAGAAGCGCGCTGGAAGCTTCTCGCCGCTTCCGGCGCAAGGAGCCGTCAAGCAACCTACTTGGCACGAAAAGCCGCTCCAGGGGAAGGGGCCGAGAGCTCCTCGGTCCAGCGACTCGAAAGAGGTGTGCAGTCGAAGGTACTGGTCCCCTCTCCTTCCCCATGGGCGAAAGAAAAGACGGGGAGGGACAAGGAAGGGGAGGGGGGAGACGGAGAAATCAAGCACGAGGAGGTTGCTGCTGTCC